CTCCAAGTATGGTGTCCTTTTCCAAGGAATAGACTCGCTTTCATAGAGTATGAAAGACAAAGATTCACCATCTTTTTGTCCTCAGGCTGCACTTTCTCCAGGACGTGCCTCTGTGTTCTTTTGACAGTCCATGCTCTCCGACACCACAGCTCAAAGGCATCAGTTCTTCTTCCCCGTCCTTCTTCATTATCTAGCTCTCTGATACATAGCAGGTGATTGAGAAGACCATGACTAGAATAAGGTGCACTTCGGTCTTCAAATTGACATCATTACCCTTCATCGTACTCTATTGTACTTGTTAAAATCTAACATATAGCATTTGGTTTGGGTGTTTTTGTTTTGTTTTGTTTTAAATAATTTTTATTTACTTATTTTATGTGTGTACCGTTAAATTGGATCTGACTGGTACAGCAGATACCAGCAGAGCATCTGGTGGATTTGAACCGTGCACCTCTGGGACTGCAGTGCAATTTCCTGCCACTAGGCCACCAGAGCTTGCCTTGGGTGTTGTTTTTATGTTGTTGCTTTATTGTACAGCCTTACTAAAATGTAAGCTTGAGATCACAATTTCTGTTTTGCCCACTGAAGTACACCAAGTTAGTAGAACACTGCCCGGCACAGCGTTGGCACTCAGTTAATACTTGTGAACTAATGGACAATAGAAGAAGATTTGGTGCCTTTGATCTGTGGCATTGGAGAAGAGGATTGAACATACCACGGACTGCCTAGAGAACAAACAAGTCTGCCATGGAGAGAGTGAAGCCAAGTTGCTTCTTGGAGGCAAAGATTTTTAAAATCCATCTCAAATACTTGTGCATGTTTCTAGGAGGTAACAGTCCTTGGAGAAGGACATTATGGTTGGAAGGGTGAAGGGACAGAGAAGGAGAGGAAGACCCAGGGTGAGATGGGTTCACACAGCAACTGAGGTTCTGGGTTACACAGTAAATGCAGGTAGGTGTGTCAGAGACAGTGAGATTAGCTTAGGAGAGGGCAAGGTTCAGAGCTAGTATACATAGGATCGCTGTGAGTCATAGTCGACTCCACAGCACACAACAACAACAAATGAATGAATAAGTCATTAAGAATGATGATTTGGGGTGGCAGGCGGTGGCCTTTACCTCTGCTAGTGACATGAGAGCTGTATCAGAAATCTTACAGCTCCGGAATAGTTTGACATCTTCAACTTATAACATTTTTGGAGAGAACACCTGTCTCATTTCTCCATTTTCCGTTTCAGTCCTATTCAAACATGAGATGTTTATTCTGTTCCCAGGCCTATCTTACCCACTGGATATCTGATGTGTAGGCATATTGCAGCAGTCCTTAACAGAATGGGCCCCTTGCTTCCTAACGAACTGAAGCCAACTCTCAGCACTGTAACATACTTCAGTTCAAGAAAAGGAAAGAGAGCCTCAGTGAGCTGTCATCTATTGATTCCTGCACCTTCATTCTGGGCTTTGCTAAGGAGAAAGACTGGTTATAAGAGGAAATTACACCTGCATGGAAGAACTGCTTGAGGGAATTTGTGTTCTGTAGTAAAACCTGGAACAAATCCTTTGATTAAATTACAACATCTTTCTGGAAGAAGCTAAACTGATATACTAATGAACACTCTCATATGTATCAGGATCACCAAAAAGTATGAATCTAAAGTTTTACAAATTCTCAGCTGTTAAATATGTATCCCTCTGGAAACTCTTTGAACTTTGATGAATGACGATGCTTATAGAGAGGCTTCAGGCCTTTTGCTCATTGGGTCACTAGAGTCATGCTCAACTCAATGGCAATCAGCAACAACAATATATTACCTTGCAACAGAGAACTTGACAATGACAGAAGAAGAATTGATGCTTTCAAGTTGCGGTGCTGGAGAAGAGTCTTGAACATACCGTAGACTGCCAAGAAAACAAGGAGGTCTGTCTTGGGGAGGGTGAAACCAGGTTACTCCTTGGAGGCTAGGATTTTAAAGCTCCATCTCACTCTGGGCATGTGACCAGGAGGAACCAGTCCTTAGGGAAGGACATCATGTTCAGAAGGGTGGAGGGACAGCGCAGGAGAGAAAAACCTCTGGATGAGATGGATTGACATGGTAGCTGGAGTAATAGGGGTAGGTGTGTTGGAGTCAGTGAGACTGGCTCAGGATAGGACAGGGTTCAGAGCTATTGTACAGAGGGCTGCTATGAGTCACAAGTGACTCGGTGACACATAGTAACAACAATACTTTGCAAAGATGACTAGGTGTAAAACTTAATGTAAATGATACTGATATATGTAATCATACTATTAATATTAAAACTTAATGGAGTAAACAGACCTCGTTTTCTTCATAATAAGAATTCCAGAACATTTAGTTGTGCTTGTATGGAACCTGTAAAATATGAAGCATAACGGTCATTCACCCAGAACAAGAGGATGCCACATGATTCTAAGTCTAGAACCGTGTGTATCAGGATTGTATCCTTTCACTGTCTATCATGGTGGATAGAAAAATGCTTGAAGTTGTCTATGATTTCATTTTACTAGGACCTACCTCCATCCCCCACACTAGCAGTAGTTAAGAACCCATGTTGCCCTGAACCAACCTGCCAAGAACCTCTTGAAAGTGCTATATAAGAAGGTGTCCATTTATGGAGTGAGGTGTGTCTGGCCCGAGCCAGGCTATTTTTCTGTTGCCTTGTGTGCAGGTGGAATTGGATAATGGATACAGAAGACTGCAGAAGAATCGAATTGATGCCTTGAATTATGCAGCTGGTGAAGAGTATTGAATGTCCCTTGGCCAGCCAAAGTAACAAATCCGTCATAGAGGAAGTGCTTACAGGGTGTTCCTTGGAAGCAGGGATGGCAAAACTTCTCATATATTTAGGCAGCTTGTCAGAGGTGGTGATCCTTGAGAAAAGACATCATGCTCGGCAAAAGAAAAGAAGACCCTCAATCAGAAGGATTGACACGGTGACTCCAGCAGTGGGCTTGAGTGTGGTGGGGATTGCGAGAATAGCACAGGATAGGGCGAAAATGGAAGCCTTTGAACTGTGTTGTAAAAGAGTATGGATTACCAAAAGATCAAACAAATCTGCCTGGATTTACAGCTGGGGGGGGCGGGGGGTGGGGGGCTCTGAGAGGCAAGGATAGAGCAGCTTGGTCTCACGGACTTTGGACATCTTATCAGGAGAGGCCCGTACTGGGAAGGGGGATGCCGTGCTTAGAAAGATGGATGATCAGAAACTGAAAAGAAGACTCTCAGTGAAATGGATTGCCACAGTGACTGCTGCAATGAATGGATTTAACAAAGGGAAGATAGTCATTGGGGCTGATGCAGGGCCAGGCAAGGTTTTATCTGTTGCCATGGATTAGAGTCAACTGTGGTGCATCTAACAACATAGACGGATTTGGTCAGAAAAAAGCAATTTAAAAATGTACATTATTTTTCATGAATGATCAAGGCTGAGCTAGTTGTTCCCAGTAAAGCTTTTTTGAATCTTGAGTGAGGGTGACCATAAAAAGACTAAAAAAAAAAAAAAAGCTAACACATTAGCTCAAACACGTGGCATTCCTTTCAGAATGCATGCCCAGGAAGTAGGGAGCGTCACTCCCAGCTACACCCAGAAATCGTCCTTGAAGCAACAGGAAGAGCAGAAACTGATGGATGATTGTGGAGCTGGATGTCTAGGGACCTAGGCAGCAGCAAGTGCTGGGTCTTTTGGTTCTGCTGAGCACATGACTCCTCCCATTCTGAATTAGAGCGCCGTTCTCGAATTCACACTTCTTGCTTTCTCATATTTTCTGCTTCATAATAATGTTAGGTCACGACCCACAGCTCCTGTCCCTAAACTTTTAATTGCCAAGGGATTCTCACTGGGCCATCTCTTTCCTGGGATTGCCTCCAGTGTTGGGTTTGGCTGTCCTAGATCAGGAGCACACCTCAGCCCACTTAGTTGTGTAGCAACTAGTAGTTTGTGGAGAAAGAAAAGAAAAAGAGAAAAAAAAAAAGAA